AAGAAAGAAAGAGTAAATAAAAAGTTCCTTTAAATACCGAGCGAGTATACAAAGGCACCTCGTGCAGTTTCGTATCAAACTCGACCTACAACATCCATTTGGCGTTTTTCAATAGCTCAATCAACGTGATAAAACTATTGCAGCTGCCCAAACTTGGCTTACCCTCTAGGTAATGGTCCAGCTCATTTTCTTGCTTGTGTTTCTGTCCTGTTTGGTTCTTTAGGTAGAAGCCTGGAAAGGGATGGGAGGGGGGGGGGGCGTTAAGGCCGAAACACATGTTAAATTACTGATCATAATGTTTTTAGTCAACGGGATCTCAGACCACATGTACAGTATATTTCTTGCCTGATATAATTCTGCTCTGAAATCTGATCGTCGATTCGAACAAAATCGAACGAAAATTTTAACTATTTTTGGAATAAAAACATCATTGTTTTTTTCAAAGCATATTATTTTCTTAATGGAACTTTTCCAAAATTATGTATAAAAGTTTTGATTTGCCAGGAAAACTAGAAGATAGTAACTGCCTCGTGATAGACGTCTTTGAAAGTTTGAAAACGAGATATTTATTCTGGTAATTTTGAAGCACTAACGTTTTTGCGAGAAACGAAATTACTGATTGAAGGTAATGTGAACATCTCCAAAACTGTTCGTTTTTCTACAGTTAATTCCCAAAAGGTTCAAGTACAAGGTCAGGCAGAATCTCTTTCTAAAAGATCATCGAGTATCAGTATTGATAAATTAATTCTCGCCCATTATCGATGGATATGTTACACTCGGCCAATGAGATTGTCTCATATCTAGGCTCTTCTTCAACTTGGAATAGATTTAGCTCTTTAACTCAGTCGAGGGGATCATCTGGTATTGTATGCTAAAGCTAAGGTAAGTAAGTATGCTGATTAGTGATTTAAAGCCAGCTAATAAAAAGTAGAAAATAAAGCGATATATTATCAGTTGGTGGGGATGAGRAAGGGAAAGCAAAAAGAAGAGAGACTAACAGGAAAGCATAGTATAGAATGGTTCGCAGCAGACATTTTGTAWAGGACGGTAACGATGAAATATCTTTGCTTGACAAAAGATTGTATTGCCCAAAGGAGAACATTTCTATTAAGTCTAACCAACTCACGACCAACTCTTTTATAATGAGCTCAAATACTGGTGATAAAATAAAATAAATTGGTTATTTTTATTGGTGTTTTAGACTCTGCTATCTTCTGTGATGAATCAACTGAAAAAAGCTGTTGTTTTTTTATTACTTGGTGTGTTTGTAGACGAGCTACTTGGCATCCCCGAACTATGGCCCAACTTGGGTGACAACGGTCATATCATAGGATTACGCGAGGACGGGGGTGATCCAACTATACATGTGTGGTGTGAGTATTCATAACATTTTATTTTTTTACTAAGATTGATTTTCAATTATTCATATATTTAATATCCATGCATCTGTGTTAATCTGTTTGTCGTAGTAGACCAAAGTAATTTCATATCCCATCACCATCACCATCACCATCACCATCACCATCACCATCACCATCACCATCACCACCACCATCACCATCACCATCACCATCACCACCACCATCACCATCACCATCACCATCACCACCACCATCACCATCACCACCACCATCACCACCACCATCACCATCACCACCACCATCACCATCACCACCACCATCACCATCACCATCACCATCACCGTCACCATCACCACCACCACCACCATCACCATCACTTTACTAATGTCTTGATTCTTCATTCCTTTCAGGTTTAAATGATAAGCATGAGACGTTAAAAGGACTGAGTAGTAGAGGGAACTATTACTGTTCTAGTAACCCAAGATGTTTGCATTCTTTTTCTACTGGCAATATAAATAAAAACTCCATAGACGGCAGAATCGACTTCGTGTGTCCTCGTGAAGGATACATAAGTGGTATAGATGAAGGTTATTTTTTCAAGGATCCTGCTTCAGTTGAGGTCCGGTGTTGCCATGACAACCATCCCCGTAAAGGCTGCTTCTGGGTTGGTTGGCAAAACTGCTTTGGACGTCCATTCAAGTTCTGGGTACCAGATGGATACTACATGGCTGGTTTTAGAAGGAAGTTGCACTTTGACCCAAAGAACATGTAAGAATTAAACTTTTTATATTAATAATGTTTTATTAATTACGACAATTAATTCTGTTCTTATTTTTTTAGATTCTCGGGAGTTTGGGACTTCTATGTGTGTAAATGAAAAGCAGAAATGTCAGTTCCTCTAGTGAATCACAGTTAATTGAATGCCTTTTTCTTTCATGGTTACATCCCAAATCTACGCTTCGTTTTCAGAAGCTCTCCTGCTCTAGTGTTTCTTGGTCAGTCATAGTTGGTTTAACTGACGTACGTCAGCGACAACTAATAGAGCAGCGAGAGCCCATGTAACAGACGATATACCTTAAATAATGCATGGAATTAAACAGTATTGCGGTCTAAGATGCTCAACACCGAGCGAATGACCGAAATGATAAATGTAATTGTAATAATAATAATAAAGTTATATTCCACTAATGTAGAGAGTTTATTATTACATATTAACTTGACAAAAAGGGTGCCATAAATGGGTCGAAATCTTTTTGCTCAAAAATGCTGAAAAATGTCCCATTTTGAAAGCTCCATACATATTATTCTGTATTTTGAAAAAGTAACCAAAATTGCATATGACCTGAAAACGTTTCGGRCCATAGCGTGAACRTGGGTACCGTAGCATGAACCAGCGTGTGGTAAAATATGATGACGTCATGAATCACGTGACCCATGGAGCCTTAGGCAACGGACAGAGGCTGCCGGATAGCTTTTTAAAATGGGACATGATATTCCCGGTCCCAATGTGAACAGGCGTGAAACAGAGCATGAGTCAGCATTTTRTCGACAGCGGATATTTCCAACTCGCTCTCTTTACTCAAACTACTTAAACTTCCGGYTACAAATCACTCCAAAAACAAGCGCTCTATGTGTGAACAGATGGGCTATCTGGTATACTTTTTGAGCCGAAACGATTGATGCTGTCAGTTATAGTGTGCACATAGCCTTATTCGTAGTTAATTCCAAAATGTTGTGTTTTCTTGTTTTCATACCATTAGTATTAAAGCTATGTCACTATAATTTATGTTATTCATGAGCCAACAGGTCCTTTGCAGGCCCTTTGCGTGTCTAGCTGTACTGGAGAGCAAACTGAATATTTTGTCTTACTTTAAATTTTTCGCAGACTCGCTCGTTCACAATATCATGTGGAGCGCTAGCATACTAAGTTATCTAACCTTGCTATCTAACTATTCAACAGTTTCATGACTATTTTAATAATATTTTTAAGTGCAGTTTAAAAACTGCACTTTAATTTTCATCATAATAATCCAACAAAGGTAACGGCTGGAGGAAGTTGTTTTACCATGATCTATTCTTCATGGTTGTGTGTTGCTAGGATACAATAGAAAGCTTATCAGCTGTTGTATTTAGAATCCTAGTTTCTTTATGTTGTAGTTTCGCTTCCGGAAGCTTYACTTCCGGTTGCCATTTGATCATCATATCGCGCATGCGTATGTTATCGTSCTCCTTCGTGCTGGTCCGCCATCTTGGTTTGGCTTTTTGAGTTATTGTACGACTTCAGTGCATTAAATTACTTTTACAACCGAAACCACGACACTTTATATTCAGGTACKTTTGAAATTCATGTATTTATATCCGTAAGACTCAGTTYATTCCAGCATTCTTTCGACGAGTCTTTTTATACCCCACAAAATGTGACCCGAAAATAGCTTAATTTTGTAGAGCGACTGAGCGCAAGGATTGTGTTTGACTCTTGGCTTATGGCCCATCAAGAAGAAAGTCAATATTGTAATATTTTAAATAATAAAGTATAGAACACTCAATAGACCCTGATAACACATGAAAGTCTCTCAAGTACTAAAGTGTTTGACTCTTGGCTTATGGCCCATCAACAAGAAAGGCAATATTGTAATATTTTAAATAATAAAGTATAGAACACTCAATAGACCCTGATAACACATGAAAGTCTCACAAGTACTAAAGTGTTTGACTCTTGGCTTATGGCCCAACAAGAAGGAAGGCAATATTGTAATATTTTCAATAATAAAGTATAGAACACTCAATAGACCTTGATAACACATGAAAGTCTCACAAGTACTAAAGTGTTTGACTCTTGGCTTATGGCCCAACAAGAAGAAAGTCAATATTGTAATATTTTAAATAATTGATATCTTATTATTTATGTACAGGGGTGGATGCAGGAATGGTGAAGGGGTGAATAGTCACCACCCCCTCCCCTCACCGTTATGCTCATATTTCTCAGTATTATGCACTTGTCATCGGCTTCCACGAGGGGGGGGGGGGGGGACCCCGGGCATATGCGGAGACTTTGCTTTGAGACTAGAAGAATGTATTTCCCCAGATATGGGGCAAGGTTCTTAGAAAATACCCCTATATTTCACCAGCCCCTGGGACATTGTTATGGAGTTGAAATAACAGATCACGAAAAGTAACACAAAACAGTAGAGTGCACACACAAAATCCATAAAACAAACTGGAGACAAGATCTTAGTAACATGTATAGCAGATTGAGCATTTGATAATATCTTAACTTTCTTAAAACTAGTACTGAAATATACTAATTCAGCGTCTGTCTCAAGCTTGCACTTGCTGCTACAGTTACAGTAACTTGACCTTCGTTCAATGTCCGCCATAATGGCATTTTGTGCATGTTTTCAGTTCACAAGCNGTTTCTTTATGTTGTAGTTTCGCTTCCGGAAGCTTCACTTCCGGTTGCCATTTGATCATCATATCGCGCATGCGTATGTTATCGTGCTCCTTCGTGCTGGTCCGCCATCTTGGTTTGGCTTTTTGAGTTATTGTACGACTTCAGTGCATTAAATTACTTTTACAACCGAAACCACGACACTTTATATTCAGGTACKTTTGAAATTCATGTATTTATATCCGTAAGACTCAGTTYATTCCAGCATTCTTTCGACGAGTCTTTTTATACCCCACAAAATGTGACCCGAAAATAGCTTAATTTTGTAGAGCGACTGAGCGCAAGGATTGTGTTTGACTCTTGGCTTATGGCCCATCAAGAAGAAAGTCAATATTGTAATATTTTAAATAATAAAGTATAGAACACTCAATAGACCCTGATAACACATGAAAGTCTCTCAAGTACTAAAGTGTTTGACTCTTGGCTTATGGCCCATCAACAAGAAAGGCAATATTGTAATATTTTAAATAATAAAGTATAGAACACTCAATAGACCCTGATAACACATGAAAGTCTCACAAGTACTAAAGTGTTTGACTCTTGGCTTATGGCCCAACAAGAAGGAAGGCAATATTGTAATATTTTCAATAATAAAGTATAGAACACTCAATAGACCTTGATAACACATGAAAGTCTCACAAGTACTAAAGTGTTTGACTCTTGGCTTATGGCCCAACAAGAAGAAAGTCAATATTGTAATATTTTAAATAATTGATATCTTATTATTTATGTACAGGGGTGGATGCAGGAATGGTGAAGGGGTGAATAGTCACCACCCCCTCCCCTCACCGTTATGCTCATATTTCTCAGTATTATGCACTTGTCATCGGCTTCCACGAGGGGGGGGGGGGGGACCCCGGGCATATGGGGGGACTTTGCTTTGAGACTAGAAGAATGTATTTCCCCAGATATGGGGCAAGGTTCTTAGAAAATACCCCTATATTTCACCAGCCCCTGGGACATTGTTATGGAGTTGAAATAACAGATCACGAAAAGTAACACAAAACAGTAGAGTGCACACACAAAATCCATAAAACAAACTGGAGACAAGATCTTAGTAACATGTATAGCAGATTGAGCATTTGATAATATCTTAACTTTCTTAAAACTAGTACTGAAATATACTAATTCAGCGTCTGTCTCAAGCTTGCACTTGCTGCTACAGTTACAGTAACTTGACCTTCGTTCAATGTCCGCCATAATGGCATTTTGTGCATGTTTTCAGTTCACAAGCAGCGCAGGTTAAGACAGCGACCCCAATGCCAGTAAATTGAAGTCAAAATAAATTCAAACAAAAAACGATGTTTATACCTCGGTTTGCTTTTTTGGACCTTTAGAGTCCAATACTTTATTGAAAACAGCTCTTTACAAAGAACTCTAATACTTCCAGGGGGTTTCAGAACATTTTATATATATATACAACTATTCCCCCAGGTACTGAGGCAAGGATTTAAGGCCAAGTCCCCACTTTTCCCCCACATTTCCCTGAGTCTAGCCTGGGGTCCCTCCCCTCTTGGAAGCTGATGACAAAGGCATTATCCTTAGTAAGTCACCCCCTTTTCCTGGTATTCCTGGTAAAACCTTTGTAACCCCCCTTCTAAAATTCCTAGATCTGCCACTAATGTATACCAAAACTTTTTTACTTTATTTCAATTTTTAATTATTTAAAAAAATATTTTAATTCTTCCATCGGTCATTCTAATGTGTGCTTGTTTAATCATTTAATTTGTTTGATTTTAGTAGAATGTTGGATAACAAGTAAAGCTGAAGATGAATATGCTCAAGAAGACTACTTTTGTAAGGTTTTGCTGTGTGTCAGCCTCCATGTTGCCAGAGGAACTTGGACTGTCAACTGAACAGCTGATTTGTCTGGACCAAGAATGCATAGAGATGGCTAAACACTGTAATGATATAAGCACTACTTTTGTATGGTTTTGCTGTGTGTCAGCCTCCATGTTGCCAGAGGAACTTGGACTGTCAACTGAACAGCTGATTTGTCTGTACAAAGAGTGCATAGAGATGGCTAAACACTATAATGATATAAGTACCATGATAGGTTCTTGCGTGCTGTTCGTAGTGCATAGCAACAGCATAGGTAGACATGCTGATTCACTGAGGTGTCTGAAGGAAATATTACCGTTAGCTGTAGCAATACCAAGAGCTGAGTTAATAGTTCATACATATTTGTCCTTCACATATAGGGAGCTCAACGAGTTTGAAAACGTTGTCTTGCACGCCAAGAAATGGATCGAAATTGCTGAAAGTATAGGCGATAAAGAAAAAGAAATCGCTGGACATCATGAAATGGGAAATGCATTTTCATTCTTAGCTCGTTATGATGATGCAATTGACTGTGGCAAAAAATGTCTTAAAATTGCTCAGGAAATTGATAGTGCTGATGGCGAGATGAATGCATATTACCGCATAATGGTCGCATATCAATACATGCAGAAATATGATGACACTATTCTGTATGCGCACAAGCTCCTTGATTGCGCCATGAAAATCAACAATCAGAAGATTATGATGGGTGGGTACTTAATGCTAGGAAGAATACATTGTGCATTGAATCACTATCAACATGCCACTGACTTTGGACAGAAATGCATTGAAATAGCAAGAGAGATAGAAGATAGAAGTGGTGAAGTCAAGGCTTACCTATTAATGGGGAAGATATATCAAGGTCTTTCCGACTACGACAATGCAATTTTCTATTACAAGAAGTGTATTGAGCTTGCAATAACTATTGGCGATAAAGATGCTGCGGCTCATGCGTATTGCTTACTTGGAAAGATATTTTTTCTTGGAGAAATACGATGATGCCATTTCCAACTGCCACAACTGTCTTCACATTGACAAGGAAGATAATGAAGAAAAATTTACTCACGTTATTGCGTATCTGACTTTGGGAAAGGTATACCGGTCTTTGGAGAAATACGATGAAGCCATTCAGAATTGCCAGCAATGTATAGACATCGTGAACCGTATTGGCCTCGTAATGAGAGCGGAGGCTGATGCTCATAGCGAACTTGGAAAGATATATTATTCCTTGGAGAAATACGATGATGCCATTTCCAACTGCAACAAGTGTCTTCACATCGACAAGGAAGATAATGAAGAAAAAACTGCTGATGTTAATGCGTATCTGATTATGGGAATGGTATACCGGTATTTTAAGGAATACGATGAAGCCATTCAGAATTACAAGCAATGTATAGACATCGTGGACCATATTGGCCTCGAAAAGAAAGCGGGGACAAGAGCGTGTTTGTATCTAGGAGATATTTATGAGATACTGAAACAGTACAAGGATGCAGTGCGATACGCTGAGAAATGCATCGACATGGCACAAGAAACTGGTGAGAAGGAGATTGAAGCAATAGCATGTCTCGTTCTTTCGTCTGTATACCACATGTCAGGTGATAAAGAAAGCATCGATAATGCCATCCAATACGGTAAGAAATGCCTGGACATCTCTCAAGAAACTGGCGACAAAAAAGCTGAGATGGAAGGACATTTATGCCTCGCTAGAGCATATATGGACTCGGGCCGGTTGAATGAAGTGTCTCAGAGTATAGATGCAGGCATGATGGTTGCTACAGAGCTTGGAGAAAAAGAAGCTGTAGAAAAGTTGAAAGAAATTCGTTATGGTTTATATTCCATGGTTGGTTTGCATGAGAAGGTTGATGCACCCTCACTAAAGGAATTAATAGAGGTACCAACATGTTCTGAGGATGAGCTTCTACAGGAACTTGACAAAGCGAAGACAGGCAATAAAACAAAGAAACTTAGAGCTTCCATCAGGCTTCACAAATTCTATCGTTCTAAAAAAGATTATGAAAAATCAATAAATTACGTTGAGCAGTTAAAAGAGATGGACTTGGGTCGTTCTTGGAACTTGTTCTGTATCACACAAATGGGAAACTTGTATTATTTTATGGGGCAGAATGACATGGCTTTACGCAGTTTCAGACAAGGGCTACGTACTGCTGAGTCTTGCTCTGATACTGATTGGTACCTATCCCAATTCTATAATGGCTTTGGTCAATTATTGTATTACTTGAACAGAGAACTGAACTTAGCAGAACATTATCTAAGAGAAGCTATGCGATGCTTTGAAGTGATCTTTACAACACTTGGTAGTCTTGATGAATTCAAGATCTCCATTTTTGACGAATATATTCATAGTTATAAGCTGTTGGCGGTACTGTTAATCGGCGGCGAGAAGATCGAGGAAGCACTTTTAGTGTTAGATCGTTGTCGTGCAAGAGCATTGAAAGATCTTATGATGTCAAACTTCAAGATGGAACAAGAGGAGAGCAATGATGAACACCTAGAGTACAGCGATGTTTTGTCTCTGGTCTCAAGAAATGACTTCAGCATTGCCTTTTACTCACTTTATTTCGATGGTTTTCTGAAATTTTTCATTGGAGGGGAGACAAACTTGCATTATTCAATGCGTAGTAATCATTCGCTACAAATAGACGTCGATAGGTCGTTTAACGAAATGGGTGTTGGTGAGGTGGTTGACTGTGAGAACAGGTCCTTGGACAAAGAAGAAGATATTCAAAAAGAACAAAAGAGAAGCAAAGAAGAATACGAGGGACTTTATCAGCCAACGGCATTACTACGTAACCTTGATTCTAACAGAGGAGAATCTAATGGGAATAGTGCTGAAACCAAGGGATCTACTCTTGAAGATTTATTTGATATCTTAGAATGTGATAAAATACTATTGTCGAAGCAAGACGAGGTTGTTATTATTCCCGATGGTCCCGTATGCCAAGTACCTTTTCCCGCTTTACGAGATCCTCGTACAGGAAAGTATTTATCAGAGACAAAGCGCATTAGACTTGCTCCTTCATTAGCGACTTTAAAGGCGTTGCAAGATTGCACAGAAGATTATTATTCCAAGAAAGGCGCCTTAATCGTTGGAAATCCTCTCGTTGGTAAAGTCATGTTCGATGGGGAAGAGAAAGAGTTTGATCCTTTGGATAATGCGTTTGCTGAAGTGATCGCRGTWGGCAATGTATTCAATGCGACGCCTTTGACAGGAGAGAAGGCTACGAAACAAGCTGTTATCCAGAGACTCAAAGAAGGAGTATCTGTSGTACATATTGCTGCACACGGCAGTCTCACTAAAGGTACGATAGCACTTGCACCTTCTCCTGAGGTAAGAGCAACAAAGATCCCAGATGAAGAAGATTACATGCTGACCATGGCTGATGTACAGAAGGCTCAAGTACGAGCACAGTTAGTTGTGTTAAGCTGCTGTCACAGTGGACGTGGTGAAATCAGAGCTGAAGGAGTAGTTAGCATGTGTCGAGCCTTTCTAGCGTCAGGTGCTCGTGCAGTTGTAGCGTCTCTGTGGGCCATCGATGATGGAGCAACATGCGATTTCATGTTTARATTCTATACTCGCTTAATGGACGGAAAGAGCGCGAGTGTAAGTTTACAGCAAGCGATGAATGAAATGAGGAACTCTTCCGGTTTCAATGAACCGTATTACTGGGCACCATTCTTTCTCATGGGTGAAGATGTAACAATCAATTGTTAAAGAATACTGCAAACATAGCATAATGATAACATTTTCCATTCTTATCATTATAATGACAAGTGCTTCCTTTTTTAGTTCACAAGACAACTGAGTAGTATAGGGAATGGGGGTTCTAGCGCAGTGACCACACGAGGATTTCCCGTTTAAAGTCACTAACCCGTGTTTGCGTAGCCCTCATTCCCTATGAGACCCNAGAGGAACTTGGACTGTCAACTGAACAGCTGATTTGTCTGTACAAAGAATGCATAGAGATGGCTAAACACTGTAATGATATAAGTACCATGATGAATTCATGCGTGCAGTTCGTATTGCATAGCTACTTCTTAGGTAGACATGCTGATTCACTGAGGTGTCTGAAGGAAATATTACCGTTAGATGTAGCAACACCAAGTGTTGAGTTAATATTTCGTAAACATTTGTGCTTTACATATAAGGGGCTCAACGAGTTTGAAAACGTTGTCTTGCACACCAAGAAATGGATCGAAATTGCTCAAAGTATAGGCGATAAAGAAAGCGAAATATATGGACATCGTGAAATGGGATATGCATTTTTGTCCTTAGCTCGTTATGATGATGCTATTGACTGTGGCAAAAAATGGCTTAAAATTGCCCAGGAAATTGATAGTGCTGAAGACATGATGATGGCATATAACCTTATAATGGTTGCATATAAATACATGGAGAAATATGATGACACTATTCATTATGCGCACAAGCTCCTTGATTGCGCCTTGAAAAACAACAATCAGAAGGGTGTGATGAATGCGTACTTAGAGCTAGGAAGAGCACATCTTGCCTTGAAACACTATCAAGATGCCACTGACTTTGGACAGAAATGCATTAAAACAGCAAGGGAGATAGAAGACATCTCTCAAGATACTGACGACAAAAAAACTCAGATGTACGGACATGTTATTCTCGCTCAAGCATATATGGAATTTTTGCAGTTGAATGAAGTGTCTCAGAGTATAGGTGCGGGCATGGCGATAGCTACAGAGCTTGGAGACAAAAAAGCAGAAGAACAGTTCAAAGAATATAGGTCTTTTCTTTATGGATTTGTTGGTTTGCTTGGCAAGTGTGATGCACCCTCAGTAAAGGAATTATTAGAGGTACCAACATGTTCTGAAGATGAGCTATTACAGGATCTTGAGCAAGCAGTGAAGACAGGTGTTAAAGCAAAGAAACATAGCGCCTCCATCAGGCTTTACAATTTTTATCTTTCCAAAAAAGATTATGAAAAATCAATCAAGTGCCTTGAGCAGTTAAAAGAAATGGATATTGATTGTTCTGTGAACTTGTTCTGTATCACAGAAATCGGAAAGTTGTATCAATTGATGGGTCAGAATGACATGGCTTTACGGTGTTTCATAGAAGGGACACCTGCTGCTGAGTCTTGCTCTGAAAATGTTGGGCTGCTATCCAAATTTTATTATGGCATTGGTCAATTATTGTTTTTGTTAAACAGAGAACTGAACTTGGCAGAAACTTATCTAAAAGAAGCTATACGATGCTTTGAAGCGATCTTTACCACACTTGGTAGTCTTGATGAATTCAAAATTTCAATTTTTGACGAGTATATTCATAGTTATAAGGTGTTGGCAATACTGTTAATCAATGGCAAACAGATCAAGAAAACTGTTTTAGTGTTGGATCGTTGTCGTGCAAGAGCATTGAAAGATCTTATGATTTCAAACTTCAAGATGGAACAAGAGGAAAGCAATGATGAACACCTAGAGTACAGCGATGTTTTGTCTCTGGTCTCAATAAATGACTTCAGCATTGCCTTTTATTCACTTTATTTTAATGCTTTTCTGAAGTTTGTTATTGGAGGGGAGACAAATTTGCATTTTTCAATATGTCTCAATTCTTCGCTACAGACATACGTTGATACGTTGTTTGACGAAATGGGTAATCGTGAGGTAGATGACTGTGAGAACAGGTCTTTGGACAAAGAAGAAGATATTCAAAAAAGACAAAGAAGAAGCCAAGAAGAATACGAGGAACTTAATCAAGCAACGGCATTACTGCTGAACCTCGATTCGAACACAGGAGAATCTAATGAGAATAGTGCTGAAACCAAAGGATCTACTCTAGAAGATCTATTTGATATCTTAGAATGTGATAGAATAATATCGTCGAAGCAAGACGAGGTTGTTATTATTCCAGAAGGTCCCCTATACCAAGTGCCTTTTCCCGCTTTACAAGATCGTCGCACGGGCAAGTATTTATCAGAGACAAAGCGCATTAGACTTGCTCCTTCATTAGCGACTTTAAAGCACTTTGAAGACTTCCCAACAAACCAAACCAGCGATGCTAAGCATTTGATTATTGGTAACCCTTTGGTTGGGAAGGTAATGATGGACGGAGAAGAACAGGATATCCAAGGTTTGCTGGGGGCACAAGCAGAAGCAATCGTAATAGCTTATAAACTTGGTGTTAAGCCACTAATAGGCGAAGCAGCCACAAAGCAGGCTGTTCTAGAGAAACTACAACAAAGAGTATCTGTGGTTCACATTGCTGCACATGGTGTCCTATCAAAAGCTACCATCGTACTTGCGCCCTCTCCTGAGGTAAGAGCAACAAAGACCCCAGATGAAGAAGATTACATGCTGACCATGGCTGATGTACAGCAGGCCAAAGTACGTGCACAGTTAGTTGTGTTAAGCTGCTGTCACAGTGGACGGGGTGAAATCAGAGCTGAAGGAGTAGTTGGCATGTGTCGAGCCTTTCTAGCGTCAGGTGCTCGTGCAGTGGTAGCGTCTCTGTGGGCCATCGATGACGATGCAACACTCGACTTTATGACATCGTTTTATGGCAATCTGAAAAATGGGAAAAGTGCCAGTACGAGTCTACAGCTGACAATGAACGAGATGAGAAACACGTATAAGGATCCAAAATACTGGGCGCCATTTTTTATCATGGGTGATGATATAACGCTCAAGATCATTTAAAGCATGTTTGTTAAATGATAGAGGGGACATGTTATAGGCGTATTACGGCATTGGATAAACTGAAGAAGATAAAATACACTATAACCAACTACCACTACCATCACCATCAATCACCATGACTATGACTATAACCTATGACTCACATTTGTAAATACCACTATTATCATGACCATCACTCACCATGACTATGACTATAACCTATGACTACATTTGTAA